AAACCAGCCTGAGAAAGAGATCCCATCTCAACTAAAGAAACTATTAGCTGGGTGTTGTGGTGGGCACCTGTAGTCCCAGCTACTCAGGAGGCTGAGGCAAGAGAATCACCTAAGCCCAGGAGTTGGAGATTGCTGTGAGCTGTGTGACTCTATGGCACTCTACCCAGGGCGATAAAGTGAGACTCTGTCTCTACACACACAAAAAAAAACAAAAAGAAAAACTTGTTTTGGCAGGCACCTGTAGTCCCAGTCACTCAGAAGACTGAGGCAAGAGAATCACCTAAGTCCCAGTCACTCAGAAGACTGAGGCAAGAGAATCACCTGCCACGGCACCCTACCGAGGGTGATAAAGTGAGACTCTGTCTCTACAAAAAAACAAAAACAAAAACAAAACAGAGAAACTAGCCAGACTTAGTGGCCCATGCCTGTAGTTCCAGGTATTCAGGAGGCTGAGGCAAGAAGATTGCTCAAGCCCAAGAGTTTGAGGTTGCTGTGAGCTATGACGCCATGGCACTCTACTGAGGGCAACAGAGTGAGACTCTGTCTCAAACAACAACAACAACAATAATAGCAACTCTTCTGAGGATATGAGAGGAAGGTGAGGAACAAGAAGAAATGTTGCAAAATGCTTTACATTTAGACCAATAATTGTAACAAAGCATTGCATTGGCTGGGAGTGTGGCTGACGCTTATAATCCTAGCACTCTGGGAGGCCAAGGCAAGTAGACTGACTGAGCTCAGGAGTTAGTTCCAAACCAGCCTGAGCCAGACCACATTTCTAAAAATAGCCGGGAATTATGGTGGGTGCCTGTAGTCCCAGCTACTTGGGAGGCTGAGGCAAGAGAATCACTTGAGCCCAAGAGTTTGAAGTTGCTGTGAGCTTTGATGCCATAGCACTCTACCCAGGGCAACAAAGTGAGACTCTGTCTTAAAAAACAAAACAATAAAAAGAAAACATTAAATAGTGATAAATTGTCCCCAAGAGCAAGCTTCATCAAAAACAAAAATATGTAAAACCATTTAGACTATCTTATTTATTAAAGTCTTGAATTGATGCAACTCTTAAAAATTCTGAGATCTTCACTAGCAAAGATCTGTTCTGAAAGACAATTTGTCAAGCAGCTATAGGGAATTTACAACTGTGCTGTAGTGGAACAAGCTCTTGATCTGAATGCACAAGTTCTAGGTTTTATCTAGGTCTGACAATTAGTGGCTATGTGACCTGAAATAATACAAGGATGTTTTCACCTTCAAAATGAGAACAATACCTATCTCACTTAGTTCCTAGGAAGACTGAATGTAAAATCACAAAACTACTCTGAAAAAAAAAAAAACTTACAGAAAAGACATTACCTATTTCTGAGAAGTGAGGGTAAATCACTGTACATATGTATATCAGCAAAAAAGACAAATGCATCAGGAAAAAACCCCTAAACATCTTTAATTTTAATTTCATGTTCCATAAGAAAGCAAGAAGTTTTTTTCTGTTTAGTAATGAATTAACCCAGATCAGTTTTCCCTTATACTTAATCGCCACGGTTTTCTAAAAAACAGACTTTTCATGTTGTAACCAGTTTGAGAATTTAAGACTTCCTCCACCTTACATAGGAGAGGCTATAACCACTATATTTAAGAAGTACTATTTATGTAGGGTGGGTATGGCTTTTAAGAACATAGCCTTTCGGCAGGGCGTGGTGACTCACGCCTGTAGTCCCAGCGCTGTGGGAGGCAGAGGCGGGTGGATCACCTGTGCTTAGAGGTTCGAGACCAGCATGAGCCAGAAGGAGAGCCAGAGTGAGACCCCGTCTCAACCAAAAATTGCCGGGCGTTCTGGCAGGCGCCTGTAATCCCAGCTACTTGGGAGGCTGAAGCCAGAGAATCACTTAAACCCAGGGACCCAGGGGTTGGCAGAGGTTGCTGTGAGCTATGTACCCTACTGAAAGACACAAAGCGAAACTCTGTCTCCTCCATTAAAAAAAATAATAAAATAATATAAAAGCAAAAAAAAAAAAATTAAAAAAAAAAAAAAGAACATAGCCTTTCAAGCCTTTTCCTCTAGCACAGAGACAAACAAACGCAACACACGCCACAGGGTTTGTTCAAAGTCACATTTAACAAGAGCCTAACGGAATTAATGTAAATCAATGGCACTGGAGACTCTTGTTTATAATACCCACGACTGTCCTGGGCTATAAATCTAAGAACCTACGTAGGACAAGTTTTACCTGCATTGAGTGACTCTAAGTATATATACACAGATCTGTCCAGTAGCACAGGCAAAGGTCTTTTAATACTCAGCATGAGATTCAGTACCTGAGTTTTGACATTGAAAAAATTAAGCAGGAGCAAACGTAGAGAGGGAAGAGTTATCAGCAAACCTTTGTATGACCCCAGGCACGCGGGATGCTCGCTGTGGGTACTCTCTTTGCTGTAGGCAAGAAGATGTTTATGGGAAACATTTTGGGTTACTGGGGGAGCGGGGGTGGGGGGCGATTCAGCCCTAAACTGCTAAGCCCAATCCATGAGTCAGCAGCTGCGAGAGGAGGAAGCAAGCGTAGAGGCAAAAGGAAGACGCCCCTCACCCTTCTTCCTTCTAATCTAGGGTAGGATTACTATAAAGCGGGAGCAAAAGGGCGCCGGTCACGGTCCCACATGTCCCGGGGCTAGTGGCCATGGTCAAGGGTAGACAGATTCCAGAATCGCCGAGGCAGAAGAGGAGGCAGAGCCGGCGGAGGCGGGACGGAGCCGAGGTTGAGTGGGCACTTACCGGAGATCAGCGACTGGATGACGGCGGTGCCCTGGCCGTCCGAGGCGCTTGGCAGGAGCAGCATGATGGCTCCGGGTCTACTGCTGCAGGCGCAGCGGGTCACGTCCCAGGCCGAGGGCGCTTAGCGTCCACTCTGGCTCTACCTCTCAGTCCGAGCCTCGCGCCTTGGCTCTACGACGCCCAGGAACCGGCGCATGGAGACGGCCAATAATCACTTCCGGGATGGAGCTTTCCTGGTGCGGCCGCCAATCCCACCGCCGACCGCTCCGTCCAACGTGTGCAGCAGTCTGGTTCCGCCACTGACTCACATCCGGCTGGACACCAAGGCGCGCGGAAGAACGGTTCCTACGCTTGCCAGTTTTTCAGTGAAAATTATTTTCCACGTCCTGGTGAAATACTTTTAAAAAAATTTTATTAAGTCAAACACACATAGCTCATGAATACATTCATGCATGGAATACTTTTAAAAGAATATCCTGTTATATTATTTTTATATTTATTTATTCATTTATTTTTGAGACAGAGTCTCACTTTGTCACCCTCAGTAGAGTGCTGTAGCGCCATAGCTCACAGCAACCTCAAACTCTTGGAATGAAATGATTCTCTTGCCTCAGCCTCCCACGTAGCTGAGACTACAGGCGTCCGCCACAACACCTGGTATATGCTTTTTATTTTTAACTTCCTACTACTTTATGTATTAGTCTGGACTAACATAAATAACATGAGATTTACCATCATAAACATTTTTAAGAGTACGTGTCAGTGATGCTAAGTTTAATCACATTGTTGTACAACCAGTCTCCAGAATGCTTTTTATCTTGCAAAACTGAAACTCTCCCAGCCTCAAGCAACCACCGTCTAGTTTCTGTCTTTAGGAGTTTGCTTTCTCTAGGTACCTAATATAAGTGGAATCATGTCATAGTTATCATTTTGTGACCGGCTTATTCTCTTAGCATAGTGTAGTCAGGGTTCATCTGCGTCGTAGCATGTATCAGACTTGCATTCCTTTTTAAGGCTGAATAATATTCCATTTGTACACACATGCATGCCACATTTTATCCATTCATCTGTAGATGGACCCAGGTTGTTTCCACCTGTTGGCAATCACGGTGAATATGAATATATAATCATCTCTGAGACCAGGATTTCTATTCTCTTGGGTATATACCCAGAAGTGGAACTATTAGTTCTATTTTTCATTTTCTTTTTTTTTTTTTTTTT